TGAAAACCTCCAGGTTATATACTGAATAAGATGCACTCTGATTGGCTGAGAGGCTGATTGATGATGATGTCATACTGAGAGTGTGGTGTAATGGTGGGCCAATGGGGAAGGGAGAACAATCAAGGGTCCGCAGTGTGGACATAACAGAAAAACACACACAGAACACACACTGGGACAAAACAACTATATACATAATATATAAACGGATATAAATGTATTCAAATTAGGTAATATTAAGAATGCAGTCTACATAAACAAAGATAAAAATGAAGACAGCTGCAATATGTTTTTCCTTTTTCCTTAATAATCCAATACTTTCAATTTCAATTTTCATTAATTGGAATAATACAAATGTAATATGACAGATCTAAAATATTATTTTCTTTCATGTATTATGTGTTTAAATAAAATGTGGCAGTCAATTTTGATAAACATAAAACTAGAGAATTTTCAACTGCTGTTCCTAGAGCTGTGTACAGTCATAAGAAGCACCACTTTTTCCTGATTTACTATTGTCTACATATGGTATGCCATTTTAATGCTTTTACCTGCTTCTTCCCTTTGAATTCGGTTGTAGAGAAGCTGCAATGAGAAATCTCTTGAAACTGAGCTAACGCCATCCTCCTGAAGAACACTCAATGCTTCCAAAGGCAACTCCATGAGCAATTTGTCGGCAAGTACAATGAAACTTTCTCCCATATCAGTAGGTGCACCTGGTACGAGAAAAAATACTTACTGATCATAATGCTTCTACTTTGTTCAATACAAGCTTTCGAGTGGCAATATTATGTTAAAGGAACAAGTAACAGGTTTATTGCATGCTGAAAAAAAAAAGAAAGAAACAACGTTTCAGCCATGGAGCCTTCTTCCGAAGGCTTCACGGCCGAAACATTGTGTTTTCTTTCTTCTTTTTTTCAGCAGCCTATGTATGCTGACGGAGCTACCCACCTGAAATATTATGTTAAAGATTTAATGAATTATTAAAAATAATTAATTCTTGTCTACTAGATATATTAAACTAATGTTTCAAGTGCTAAAGGATCAATGAAAAAGTGAAAGATCAAAATAAAAACTACTCAATGAATAAAGAGAAAAAAACATGTTTGAGATATACCTACTTCAACCATCTCAGCAAATATCAACCAGTTAATTCATATAAGTACACTGATAATTCTGTATTTTTTTTCATCTTTGAAATGCTTCAGATTTTATCAGTAACACTCAGTAAACCAATCTGCAAATCAATCTGAAACCCAAATACAGGTTAACCGCATCAGCTTTCACTGCCACCTTGTTATTGTTCATGAGGACAAAGTGAAAAACCTTCCATCCTTTATGATGCTGGACACAGTGTTAATGAACTGATTAGGTACACACCAGATAAACCTTTGTCAACTGCAGATTTCTCCTCTCTGTCTTTCATCTTGCCAGACTCTGGCAAATGGAAAATGGAGGCTGATGGAGTCTGTACCCTGGAAGAGATAGATAAAAAATGGCACACTAAATTATACTGTACATTAATTAAAAAAACAGAAAACAAATATTTTAATACAATATTTTATTTCTTCAGCACTGACTTGAGCATGTAAGATTTATCCTTAATAGGTCTCTGGGAAAGTACCCTAAAATAACTGCTAAGACTACCTTTAAAAGACACTCTGTATGGAACAGGCACAATTCCACAGACTATAATTCAAACATCAATATTATGCAACTTTATATGATCAATTTGTAAGTTAGGTGGTTCTGTATTTCATAACAGCGATATTTCCAGGCTTAAAATATATATATATACTGTACAGTAGGCTGCAAAGGAACAAGTAAACGTTTTTTCCATGCTGAAAAGAGAAGAAAAGAAACAACGTTTCAGCTATGGAGCCTTCTTCCAGTGTGAGAAAGAGAGGTTGCTCAACTCCTATTGCAGAAAGACACCCGAAACCAAAATTATCCTGTAACAAGGATCACACCCTCCCCGTTCTAATCCTCTCTATTCATTTACAGGTTTTGAGTTCACACCTCTCTTTGCCTCTCTCGACTTCACGCCACCTGAGTGCCCACTCGGCCTCCCCCCCCAGCTCCCGCCTCCTGTTCTTCTATGCTATATCAGCTGCTGACCTTGCACTCTAACACCCAAAGAAGGCTCCACAGCTGAAACGTTGTTTCTTTTAAGCATGGAATAAACCTTTACTTGTTCCTTTGCCACCTACACATGCTGACGCAGATACCTACTTGAACTATATACACAGTATACATACACACACAGTAACATATTTTAATAAGTAACAAATGTTAAATGTTTAATAGCCTGATTCTCAATCAACAATTTTTTTATTATCCCTGTATTCACCACCTTGTATTGACTTTACCAAAGTTTGTAAAGGTGATTAATCAGCTGTTAGTATCAATTTCCATGTTGCTTTAGATTCTCAAAGTACAGCATAAACATTAGCATGCAGGCTACTAGAAGTTTTTAACCATAAATATCACCTTTACTTACCTGAAACTAGAAATGCCAAGCTGGGAAAGAACAGGATTTAGGTAATCTTCCATTTGTTTAACAGTATCATTGAACTGAGATGCAAGTTCATCTTCTTTGGTGATTTTCTCCATCAAGAAATTAAACAGAAATGCATTTGAACATATTATTCTTGTCAAGATATACAGCTGAGACAAAAGCTAAGATTTTGCAAAATGTTGAGGTACTGTATTGTAACATTTATTCTGGCATCACTCTTTTCTATCACATATAATCTATACAAAGTCAATTGATAAACAGCCTGTTTGAATCCAATCTGAAAATACCACCTCTTTTGCTAAGAGCCTTTACAATGTGCATGTGTTTCTCTACAAACACAACAAAATACAGACAATGTTCTATTTTGCCTGCACTACCAGGGTTTCAGAATAAACAGATTTTTTCCCATCCTTTGGCATCTTCTACACCTTTGTTTCTACAATATAATTTTACAAAGTTAAACCCCAAACCAATAAAACACAGCAGACTTACTAGATTTGTTCCTTTTTCACAATCTTCTAATGCTTGCTCCATGTTTCCATGTTGTGCAATATGGCTGAGCTGATATTGCTCCTTTAGAAGAATATGCATTGTCTCTTCCTTATAAAATTGAATGCTTGTAAGGAGCCTGAAGAATATTTCTGGATTTACAATTGTTTTTGCAACTTTAGTGCACACCAATGTACCTGTCATAAAGAAAAATGCAAATAATAGACCCAGTGAGTTGTTTCTTCAAATATCAATCTCCTTAAGCTATCATTCATTATTGTAGATTTATTCCAAACCAATTTGCTTCAGGTTGTGTAAATGGGAAGTAATTCCCAGAGAGGATGATCTAGGAATTGATGATAGAGTGTTATGATGTAGTCTACTAGTTTGTTTTGGAAGTTAAACAAAACAGCTGTGTTTAAAACCAAGGACCTAGCTAACCTTGGGTATATAATATCCAAGGTTATACATGTTAGTAGAACTGAGACAAAAGCAAGCAGTTAGACATTAGAATACTTATACACAGAAATCAATTTCTTGCAAATTCAATTAACTTGCAAAACATTATCTTTTATGCATCACACTGTCAATCTAAAGTTGAAGTAATATATCCTATTAAGCTTTGAACCATGGAATAACTTGAGTGTTGTTGTTCAACAACAACTATCTTATTAGTCATTAGTGAGTTACATTCAAAATAGAAGAACCATAAACAATAATGAGCCCCAGCAGGACAGAATGTGTTCAGACATGTATAAAACAGATATTAATTTCATGATATACATCACGTTATACATGATAATTTAAATTAATACATTTATTTTGGAATCAAATATTTGAAAGCACATTAAAACCGAAAAATTCAAAACAGTGCATAATGTGACATTAGAATGTTGTTTAGAAACTTTTGTATTCCAGGTCTGTGAATCAGCTAGACCATTATTGATAGAAAAATAAAATGAGTTTTTGCTCTTAAAACCCTAAAAAGTGATCCTTATGAGATTCCTATCGATCAAATATCAGTTTTCCATTTGGAAATTGAGATGTATTCCTTGCAGGGTGAAGTTACTCTGGATTCTAAATTTCAGAATCAGAAATTAATGAGATCCTCTGACAGCGTGCTTGCTAATAAATAAGCAAGAAGGAAGGAGACAACAGGACAAGCACATTTCCACAATCAACTTAGTTTGGGTAGTAATGTCTGTCAGAGGGGAAATGTAAAAGGTAAAACACTGAAAAAGTGAGGCAAAAAGAACTGGTTACTTCTCTTAGACTACAATATGCAAAAATGTATTTTTTAAACATGCTCTTCTCCACATGGTTCTCAGTTTAAGACATCCTTAAAAAGGTTTGCCTTCCATGTGCACATTACCTTGATGAGCCTGTTTTAGGTTTACTTTTCAAATTGTAACAGAGTAAAAAGATGACAAAGAAATAACCTGCTTTGTATTTTAAATCTACGTTACTGACAAAACACTTGAGGACAGTTCAATTAATGTAACCACAACAAGAAAGATATTGATAAAATAGATGACCAACATCAAATCTTACCAGATGGCTGAATCCCCTTTCCTTTCTGACTGTCACTTGGTTTTGTTTTTTCAATAAACGCTCCATACAATACAGACCTGTGGTAATGACAGATTTTTGTGTGGATTTTTGAATAATTTAAGTGATTTCATATATTGCTGTGGCATGTACAATGTTTTAGTGTTTGAATATAAAGCTAAAATGTTTCCAAAAATCAGTTTACAAATATGGTGGATTTATGTGGATTAATGGAAAAGTTTCTACATGGAGAAAAACAATTCCAGAAATTAATGAGAAATAATGCTGTGGATAACTTTAGAAAAGCCCTCGTATTACAAATACTAGAAAATACTACAATTCCATCTTCTATAAACATTGTAAAACATGTTCATCCATCAGTTTTCCACTTACTCTATCTAATACAGGGCAGCAGAGGAGTCAGAACCTATCCCACCAAGCAAATGGTGCAAGGCAGGATAAAACATGAAAATGTGCCAAGAAACAGTAGTCACAGAACAGGTAGAAAACACAGATATTATTCCATCACTACTGTTTGTTAAGCAGCCCCCTGGTGACAAAATCTAGGAACTCTGGCAATGCATTCAGAATGAGCTGTTTTATATGTACATTTAATTCCCCTATTATACTGTAATTGTTACAAGTTAGATTATATAAACAATATATCACAATAAGGTACACATTAGTTACTCTGCATATTTCTATATAAACAACAGAAGATGCATTGTTACTCTGCATATTTCTAAAATCTAGAGATAGACAAACTGTCGTATTTTAAATGGTTATCATACCCATTGTCTGAATGCTGAAGTATTACAATTTTAAAGTTAACTGGAAGCTCATTCAAAAGGTTGAGGTGGTGTGGATGAATATTCAGGTTTGTATATGCCTGTAAAAGACAAAAGGTAAAAGGTATGGATGTTTTTTTTTCCCAATCAATATTTTAATGTCTAAGAAATCGCAGATAAAGCACTACAATTAACATACTGTACATTATCACTTTATGCAAGATAAATCATTGTGAAAAATAACTTTTAAATTGAAAATTCATGTTCCATTATAGCAATACTTCACAATGTTATATCATTGTACTATTTTATTTGTTGTATTAATTATATTAATAGTATTTATTAATATATTACCTTTGAAATCCCACTTAGCGTCTCTTCAACAGTTTTCTGTAGATCACTTGGTGCTTCATTCTTTTTAGATTGTAAATTATGATGGAGATTCAGCAATGCAGAAAGTTGGGAGCTACTAGTATCATTGTTAACAGTCTTAAGAATCTCACTCATCATGTGTGAACAGTAACAGCTCTGAAAAAAATCAGATATTGTTAAAATATTAAGAACTACAGTCACTGTATTAAGTCTATAATGTTAAAAAAAATAAAGTTGTATACAGTTTAAATCTCACATTTATTGATATTTTTATATTTTTAAAGATAACATCCTTTAAAACGTAAATGCAAATTTTGGGTAAATGAATTTAAAAAACAAAATGATTTCTTAATTAAATGTATTACATACCGATATATTTTAATAAAATTATTTAAAAACACTGAAATACAAATTTGGCCATATACACTATATGCAATCAAACTGCAGCTAAAAGTTACTTGTAGTGAATAACAACAAATAACTGCATATATTTTTCTTCCCAGATGACTTAAATCCAGTCAGTTGTTAATACCTTTGTACGTAAGTCATACCTGGTACAGGGCCAAATATTGACCAGAAGAAGCTGGATCAAAATGTCCAAAACATTCAAGCATATTAAGACTCGCCTCTGCAAGGATTTCAGTGAATTTATTGTTCAGCGATAAACTGACAGCTTGTGCCAGTATTTCACTTGCTTGAGCCAGGAATTGCTGAGCCACAATTCTTCTACTCTGAAGAACAGAACACATAAACAAATATAGCAAGTTGAATGTTTCTGATTGTGTCATATCTTACGCAAAACAGTCATGGTTATGCTAAAATTGCTTTGTAAGAAATTAATGACGACCAACAGTGTTGTTCTTTTTATGAAGGATGAATGAAACATATTAAAGACATATTTTAGGTTAACTTCCAGGTGAACCTACATTTTTACATACTGAAGGGGATGAATGTGTAATTATTCTAAATGGCATTTATAAATCAAGTGCCAAACAACATTTTATCATATCATAAACAGACAAGACTGATTAAAACTTGACCACTTGTTTTCTCAATGAATAAAATCTTATCACAATGGGTAACACATTTCTTAGTGTATCCTTTGCTAAACTGTAACCAGTTACAACTTTTCCAAAGTTTTCAATGGCTCTTAATTTGCTCCTAATGATCATTCTTGTGTATCATCCCTCTAATATCTCTATTTTGTTTCTATTCTTCAGTGTATTTCTGACTGCACTGTTCTGCCCATACTCACATTGTGTATTGTAATTGCACTTTTCAGCATGAAACTGAACTCTACTTGTTTATATTCAGAAAATAGGCATGTCAGCAATTCCCTAATTTATTGTGATGACAATATTCCTAATTTTGCTGTAAAAAAATCATTTTGTTCATAACAAAACACCTCTTAAATGTATTTATACATACTGTACACTTAGTTTAATGATAATAACAAAATACCCTAATCTTAGCAGATTTTAATGAATACTGCTGTTCCTCCTGGCGTCCACCAATTTCCAAGTTTTGTCCTGATGAAAGCTTTTTCTCCGTTCCAGCAGGATCTTCTTGTAAACTACTTTTTCCTTCATTCTGTAAAATGTATTACAGTAGCATTGGACTTGTGCATTGTAAAATGATTCTGCACCTATGAATACTGAATTAACTACAACATGTTTTTATATTTTTTCTGCTCTTATAATAGTATTTAAGATAAACGATTGAAATGTTTTTAAATCAGTTTGAGACAATAATCATTACTTTTTTAATTTCAATATTATCTTTCAATAAAATGCGTCTCTTTTGAATTTTTTTAGCTTCAAGAATATGCAAAATACTTATAGCTGCTTTTTTCTAAATATTCAGAGAGACTGTGCTAAAAACTATAAATTAAACCCTTTTCAATCCAGTATAAAAGCCAAATAAAAATGTGTACAGGTAATTACTGTTTAACTTGGATTGGTGAAAGTAACAAAGTTTCCATACCATAAATGAAGTGTCCCACTGTATTGAAGAATTTAGGGGGTCCACCTGAACAGCAAGACATCTCAGACACTTTCCCAGCAGGCACAAGGACCTGGTCCTCATTTCCACAGGACCAACACAAAAGTTATTTATAGCTTCTAATTGAGTCAGAGCTACTTGTCCCAATGTCTTGCCTGTAGTTCTCCAGTCCTAAAAGTGGGGAGATTTTTCTTTGGAGAATTTCCAATATTTTCCTGCATATTTAATGTAATGCAAATTCCTGGATAACACCTTATACTGAACTTTATGTTTCAAACAGTATTGTATGCATATTGTAATCATTGCCTGCAAAAGCTAATGACTTTAAAGTATTTTACAGATAAATTATCAAAGTTGAAAGAACATGGAGAAGAGAAAACAGCCACAAATATTAAATTTCAATTTACAAGTTAGGCATTCTAACAGACAAAATAGTATTTAACATGAATTTTATCCTCAGCTATGCAGAGAAACTAATGTACAATCCAAAAATTGGATGGAATTACCTGTTGTACAGATGTATAGTCAGGAGTGGGTCTCACAAAGTCATCTACCACTTTTTGAACATGATCTTTTCTTTCAGCAGCTAAAGCTTGTCTTTTCTCTTCTTTGCATAGAAAATCAAGCATATCTAAGGTCATGTCCACCAGAGAAAGTCTCAAAATAGCTAGATTCTTCATCGCTGGTAAGGTCATTCTTCTTGTCTGAAAGAATTTAACTTAAATTTAGAATTTACGTTTTTTTGTGAGTGTAACATCAAATTTTACTTTTGTATCATGTTACTGGAAAGCCTTCTAGGATTGAAATAAAAGGATAATGCAAAGTACTGTCAAATACTGGAAACAAACCTTTCTGACTCTGCTTAAGACTTTGAAATAGGGCAAAAATTCACCTTTTACCAGGACAATGATCCAAAGCACAAGACCAGGGCTCCAATGGAGTTGCTTAAGAATAAGAAAGTGATTTTCCTTGAGTGGCCCAGCCAAAGAACTCACTTGAATCCTACTGGGAATCTGTAGAAAGGCTTGTAAACTGCTGTCCACGGTGATTCCCAAGCACATTGAAAGAGCTTGAGCATGTCTGTCAAGAAGAATGCTCAGAAATTGCACTAAGTACTGTACAAAGTTAGTACTTACACTAAAGGACCTGAGCCTATAATTGCTGCCTAAATATTGACTTCATGGGTATGAATAATTGCACAAATAAAATATTTTTACACTAACTTATCATTAGTTTTCAGTGTACTCATCATTTTGTAATTTGTAAGAAGTATCTACAAACTTTTGTAAGGCACTATAGTTATTTTTTTATAGTTGGATAATATTCTTTCCTTTACTTAATATGTACTCTAAAAAAATCTTTCACAAAAAACCCAAAGGAAAAAAATCACCATGACTATTATAAACATTAAGCATCTCAGCATCCATGCTATTCATTTTAAAATCAAGAGTTCCTAGACGTATATATCATTTTCTGTGTAAAACCCTAAATTGAATTACTTCAAGGTGATTGTGCAGTATTAAAGCATCCCCCTTTTTCTCAAGGTGGTATTACCACATGGTCTTGGTAGAGAATCATGCAGCTAATTAGACAAACCATTAATGACAGCAGAAACATTGTGACCTTAAGTGAAATAGTAGATTTAAAACAAAGGATTATGATTTTCTCCGATTCCCTCTAACATGGAAACGTATCCCTCATTTATTTGCACCAATAACATGGTGCAAAAAACATTTTGCAACAATATTAACATGTTCTGTTGATCCAGAGTCATGTGCCTGTTTCTTACGTTTGCAAAAGTACAATTGAGTGGCTGACATTAAAATTGTAGTATGAGCGCCATCTATTGGTTTTAAAAAGTTAGATCTTTCATGTCATTACAACGCATGCTACATTCATAAAGATTAAAAACCGTTAATTCATAAATTAAAAATTGTTAAAAACAATTAATATTTAATTGCTTTTCTTAAATACTCTTACAGATTTGTTTTGTTAAATGAACTGAATTGAATGATCTAATATTGTAAATGTTTGTATAAACATAATTGTCAGTTTCATAAATCCATACACTTCATATTCAAAAAGACAACATTCCATTGAATGAAAAAAACTATTTTTAATTTTATGGTCAATTATGTATCATGAGATGAAATAAAATGACCTATAAAGTTTGGCAGAACGGAGTCTTTATGAAACCAAGCAGCATACCCTTCACGTGGCATGTCTTAAAAAAAATATTTATAGCTGTTTTTTACATTTTTAGTCATAGGTTTTTTAATACATAAATCAGTTCAGCATCTTTAAGCTATTTACAAATTCAAATATCTTATTATTTATTTTTTTGCTTTAGTAGATACTGTTTTCAGAAGATAACTCCAATAAATTTAATTTAGCAGATTTATCGTTAGAATCCCCGTAACCCACATTTAGAGTACACCCAATTTTGAAAAAAGAATGTTTTTATATTATTTGATATGTGTCAGATTTGTAAAGTAATATTTGGTTCTTACAGTACTACCATGTAATAATTCGAAACCTAATCATAGTTCAGATAATACTGTATATTTTAATGTAATTCTTGTTAGGTTGAAACAATGAAAAAAACATTTTACAGAAAAATTAAAAAAAGTTTAATGACCATCTCCTCAATATATTTAAAGTCTTATTTAAACTTTTCCCGATTTAATGAAAAAAGCATAGTACCTCCTGAAGCTGAAGCAGGCTGAGTATATTGAGAAGTGTTTCCTCCTTCAGTGCCACAGCTTGATGCATCAGTAAGTAGGAGTCTAAAAGGTACCGATGCTGGCCATCTTTGTCACCAGTGTGGCATGCAAGCATTCTTCAGAAAATAACAAAAAACAGCAATTGTATTCTAAGTAGCCAATAACATACATTATATGTCTGATTTAGTTTCATGTGCATTATACTTTGTTATGTTATGGGTATGAGAGTTAAGGCAAGTAGTTCGGGGGGTGCATTTTATGGAAGCCCGTTTCCGCCAGGGAGTTAAAAAAAACGCGCTATGGTATCTCAGAATTCCGACTTAGCAACTCAGAATTGCGACTTCGAAATAGCCATATTTCATTGTCTGTCCTTTTGTTATTGTAACGGTTCGGGTTTTAGGGCTTGTGCCCT